GTCTTGAATAGGAATGGCAGCAGGGAGCAAAAGCAAGCAGGTATAGAAGACAGCTGGTCTTACAGATGACAACTTTTATGTGTGAAATATTACTTACTACCCAGTCTACACAATTGTTGATAGAAACTGTTCAAGTTTATCAGCGCTAGAAGAAGAAATGGCAAATTGAGACAAAGGGAATACTATACAGATATACTATATGGCACACAGGTGGGAAAGAAGAAAGCCCACGAAAGGAAGAATGAAGATGCTGTGTAGCTGAAGCAGAGGGCTGGTGAATTTGGATGACAGGAAGGGCATAAAGCTAAGAAGCAAGTAGGTTATATTTCAAACAAATCCCAAATGCCATTTAGGTGAGTTTACTGTTACTTAAAAGCTTTTTAAAAAATTATATGTCAAAGAAGTTTTAAGACTTATAGGAGTTATATGATATTTAGTTCATATCAGCATGCAATAAATGTCAGTTAATTTTGCTAGATTAATGCATGTTGGGCATAGCTGATCACATATGATTAAAAAGATTAATGTTGACTCCCACTATGGGAAGGATCATCTGGTGATTAGGTCGAGCAGCTCAAAACAGTTGAAGGACAGAATGAATGCTGTGGATATTAAATTTTATCTCACGCAAGCAGGATGGGTCCTTCAAGGGATGTCTGTGGGTTAGCACCCACGCTTTGTGACATGCACAGAAGGCACTGCTTATAACCAACAAGGAACAAGGATTATTTAGGATAAATAGCACTGAATCGTTGGGGGACAAACCACATAGAAACCATGGCAGCATCTTAAATACAAACATTAGATATTACTTTTCTGCCAATTTCAAATAATAGGGCAGAGAGAAATCAGGTGAAATGAACAAGGCCAGAGAAAGGCATTAACTTTGCTGAGTGAGTGCTAGCTACACTAGCCAGAGCTGTGATAGTGCCTGACATACATTATCTCAATGTTGCCTTCATTTACAGATGAGGTACCCGAGACCAAAAACATTTTAGGCAAATGTCCACTTAAATGCTTCTGAAATGTCAAAACTGAATGAAATTCTATTTGTTAATAATCCAAGCAAATAACATCGAGGTATTGAAAACTAGACTTGATCAGCTATATTCGAAATATATCATAAAATTTAATTGATTTTCCTATATTTTGGATGCTATTATTTATTTTAATTTTAATTTTAATTTTCATTTGTTCCATCCACTGATTCACACCATAAATGGCTGATGCTAGACCAGGCTGAATTCAGGAGCCTGTAAATCAACCTAGGTCTCCCCTGTAAGTGGTAAGGATCCAAATACTTGAGCAATTACCTGCTGCCTCTCTGGTGTGCATTAGCAGGAGGCTGGAATCAGGAGTAGAACTGAGACGTGAACCCACGCACTCTGATGTGAAACATGACATGCCAATGTAACTAGTGCCTTAAGTGCTGGGCCAAATACATACTCCTTACTACTGTATTTAAAATGAATTTTTATTTAGGAGAAAATAGTTTGAATTCATGGACTCTAATGATCAAATCTGTACTCCTACTCTCAAATAAAGTGACATTCTCAGACGATACACTGCAGGGAGGGACAGCAATTGGACAAAGCCTCAGTCTGTTCTACAAATTGGCCAGGAATAGTAGCCAAAATACAAATAAATTCTGGTCAATGTGGCCCACCTGCCACTGGTGACAAATACAGGAGTATATTATCTTTTCCCATTGAATATGGTTAGACAAGCCTTGGAAAAAGCATCATCATTGTTATTTATGATAATGACATACATTAATTAAAATTTTTAACTTTTATTAGCCATTTTCATGTCTCTTTCCTGGAGTTTATTCCATAAAAATAAAAATGTAGTACAAAATAGGTACCACTATTATATGTAAAATATTTAAGCAAAACAGTGCAATTACTTCAAATCCTAATTTATGCTTTATTCTCAGAGGTGAATAGTAGACTTCTTACTCATTGTTTTCTAAATCTAACATAACAGAAATACTAAATGGTATCAATGTGCAGAAGATCTGAGTTAGCTATATTACCTGTAATAAAATGTTAAATTCTTAGCAAAATATGTTTGAATGATAACACCTTAGATCTTTTACATTTGTGATTCTTAGTTGAAATACTACCAAAAACTTATGTTTACCCAAATTTTCCTTCTTGCTTGTTCTCTCCTATGCCTCATCCTCAATACATGTACATTAACTTTTTTGGAGGAAAATCTTTCAAATTGCCCAATGTGTCACCATTCCTATGATGGCACTGGGAGAAAGACTGTATTCCATGATAGGAGATTATTTGTGGTTTAATCATTGCTAGCTCTTTTATCTTTCCTGGAATTACTTATCTCAGTGTATACCAAGCAGCTTTGTTTTTAAAGCCAAGTCCAGAAATTGCAAAATCATGGACACAGTGTAGAACTGTCTCTTTGCTCTGCTGAAATGAAATTTAGCAATTTATACACAAATGTGCTGAACTAAATCAATTAAAACATAGATGCAGCTGAGGTTCTTGAAAATTATATTTGAAGATAAACTCAAAGTTTCTAAAATTTTATTGTGGTATAAAATTACAAACATAAGTTGTATTCCAATTTTTGATTTTTATTTACTTATTATAGGAAAACACAATAAGGGAGAGGCATTTGGGTCAGCAGGTAAATCACTGCTGGGGACATCTGCATTTCACATCAGAGTGCCTGGTCTGAGGCACAGCTATTTTGCTTCCCATCTGGCTTCTTGTGGATGTAGACTTTGGGAGGCAGCAATGATGGCTCAAGCGCTTGGTTCCCTGCTAATCAACATGGAAGGCTCCATCTTAGTCCCAGGCTCCTGGCTTCAGCTTGGCTTAGGCCTTGCTGTTTCAGGCATTTGGAGAGTGGACCAATGGACAGGTTATCTCTGCCTTTCTGTCTCTGCCTTTCAAATAAAAGGAAAAGGAAAAAAAAGTAGAATGAAAGCACCAATTATCATTGTCTTAAGGCCAAACATCTAAAGCTATTAAAATACTTCACTTTGTAAGTTGTAATGGAAAAAAATTTTTATTGACGGGCAGAGTGGACAGTGAGAGAGAGAGACAGAGAGAAAGGTCTTCCTTTTGCCGTTGGTTCACCCTCCAATGGCCGCTGTGGCCAGCGCGCTGCGGCCGGCACACTGCGCTGATCCGATGGCAGGAGCCAGGAGCCAGGTGCTTTTCCTGGTCTCCCATGGGGTACAGGGCCCAAGCACCTGGGCCATCCTCCACTGCACTCCCTGGCCACAGCAGAGGGCTGGCCTGGAAGAGGGGCAACCGGGACAGAATCCGGCGCCCCGACCGGGACTAGAACCCGGTGTGCCAGCGCCGCTAGGCAGAGGATTAGCCTATTGAGCCGCGGCGCCGGCACTTTGTAAGTTCTACATGCTGTAGGATTATTTGAAATTATGTTCCATTGTGCACATTGTTCATTTACAAATAGTACATTTCAGAATTCTCCTTCTATAGAGATAGATGTCTGACATAGCAGTTGAGATGTCATTTCAGATGCCTGGTTCCCTACTGGAGTCCTTGGGCTCACAGCTTAGCTCTGCTCCTGATTCCAGTTTCCTGCTAATGTGCATCTTGGGAAGACTAGGTGATGGCTCAAGTTGCGGGATTCCTGACACCTGTCAGGGAAACCAGGATTGGGTTCCCAGCTCCTGGTTTTGGCCTGGCCCAGCCCTTGCTGTTGCAGATATTTGGAGAGTGAACAAACAGGTGGGAGATCTGCCTCTATCTCTCTGCATTCCAAATAAATGAAGTAAAAGAAATAACTAGTATACATAGATAGTAGTAATATGATACATTTTTAGATTGGTCCTGATATACATGTTATTGTATGACTACAATTCAAAATAACATGAATCTTCTTTACCATATGTCTAACCACATGCTCCAGAGACACAGCGATTGCAAAAACTCAACGGATTGGAATGAGATTATGGTTTACACATAGAAATACTTGCACAATAAGAAATATAAACACCTCAGTTAACACACTACAGCACTACCCAATCACAGTAAAGCAGAAAGCCGGCCTAATAACCCCAAGTCTGTGGACTTTCTGGTCAGTGACGTGGTTGAGCTCAGAGTCTGCATTTGTTCTGCTGCGTTTGCTTGAATTTTCCGAACTGCCTCGGTTCCTGCTGCCACTCTGCTATTGTGTGGATCAAATAATCCCTGGTCACAAAAATACCCCAGGGAGTGACTCCCCTGGCGTCCAGGTTATGAGTGTGGTCAGTCATTCCACATGCCTTTGGGATGAGCTATCTTTGCCATGATGAGAGATTTCCTTTTCAACTTTTGTAATCCCCAGATACAAAATACTATCAATAAAAATCAGAGCAATTAAGGAAAGGTATATTGAAATCTTTTTCAAGGCAGCACCAAAATTTTCCTCATTATCTTCTAGTAAACTATTGCTGACTTAGAAGAAATTTTACAGTGTATTCCTAGAAATTAATATCTTCTACGCTGCCACTTTGATGTAAACCACCATCAGACATTTAAAAATAGACTCTTCCATGAATACATTGCATCTGACAGTTTTCTTCCTCTTTGTGTAGTTCACTGGATTCTGAAACCATTTAGCAGGGGGAAAAAAATTAAAAAGCTATTCTGTAAACCTTTCCCTCTTTCTTTTCTTCCAACCCTTCATCATATCTTTGAGAGTGAGATCCTAAGTTTTGAGCCTTCGCTTCTTTATGTGGGGACTTCCAAGACTTGAGGGTCTTCTCTGCTTTTCATAGGGGAGTACAGGGTATGGCCAAGTCAGTCCCAGCCTCCGATTCTGCCTGAGCCTGGAATCCAAGCACCTCTGGCTTCGCTGCCCTCCGGAGATCCAGCCCTGGGCGTCCTGCCCACCCAGGGGACCCGCTAGGTTGTCAAAGGCCATCCTATGCAGGTCCAGGGATAGGGCAAGCTCCTTAAGGATAACGGGACTAGAAAGCCTGCACTCCCAGCCTCTTTCTTTCCATTCTTTGTTCCTAGGGTTTTCCAAGCAGCCTGCAAACACGGGGAAACAAACGTGTGCCTTCCAGCCTCTGTAACCGGAGAGCTGCATCGGAATCAACTGGCAGAAGCGTCCAAAGAGCGCGGCCAGCTCTCCAGCCTGAGAAGGAAGCAGCTTCCAGGGGAGGCTGCAGGAACCGCCGGGATGCACTGCTCCAATGCCCCATGCCGCCCCCCTCAGCACTCCCGCAATGCACCAGCAGGGAGCGAGGACCAGGCGAAAACCGCCCGCATTTCTGCACGTCGGCCGGTTAGAAAACACTGGAGTTTTCGGAGTCGCGACTGGGAGACCGGAGGGCCCGGAGCCAGGTTTCCAGGGAGAGGGCGGGCAAGGGGTGCGGGCCCCTGGGGCCACCTCCATCCCGCTCACCCCGACAGCTGTCCCGCTCTTGGAATTCGTTGGCTTCCCCATACCACCACAGTCCAATTTAGCCCCCTGCCCCACCCTCGCTGACCTAATAAGGCCATGCAGAGTGCGGGGGACCCGTATAAAAGGCGCGGGCTCTAGGCGACTCTGCACGACACTGGGGAAGAGCAGTCATGAGTAGTCCGGTGACAGGAAAGGCCACGTCCAAGGAGTGGGGCTACGCCGACCACAACGGTGAGTGTAGGCAGGGCTGTGGCGGAGGAGCCGGGGCCAGGTTCAGAAAGCCAGCAGCTCTGGAGAGAGTGCTGGAGTGCGGGCAAAGGAGTGTATGAGAACCAGCCGCTCCTGAGCCCTCCCCAAGTGCGGAATGATGCTGGTTTCTGTGCCTTGGGCTCATTTGTTCTTCCCCCGTGTGGAGCTGTTAACTTCCCTTGCAGGAAATGGGGACTCACAGAAGCTCTGTAAGTTCACGTTGCTTCCAAGGAGGTCCAGGTCTGAGTGCCTCTCATTCCGTGATATCAACCAAACACTTAACCTCTCTGAGCCTGCTGTAGGCACAAGAATCTCTGCCTGTGCCTAACCCATGGGAAAAGGAATGGGGGTGTGCACTGAAAACTACAAAGTGATGCCCAAGGTTTTGTGGTCAATGTGACTTTATTGACCTGTTTGTTGCAAGGTGGTCTTGGCAAAATTGTGATGAAGTTCATTTCAAAACAGGACTTTGAGGCTGTGTTCCTGAGCAAGCAGAGGGAATACACAGCGGTAAATACAATCTCCAGGTACATTAGTTACAAATCTATGAACAGGTATTGAATGTTTTGCATTGCCTAATCTGAAACCCAAGGCCTTTTGGTAGTCACTGTCTCACTTTCTGTGTATTTTGCTGGTTTAGTCAATTAGAAAGAGGCCTTGAGTTCTATTTTGGCCAAAACATAAATCCTCTGAATTTTATTTCCTAGGTCCTGATCACTGGCATGAACTTTTCCCCAATGCAAAAGGAGACAACCAGTCACCCATTGAGCTACATACTAAGGACGTTAGGCACGACCCCTCCCTGCTGCCGTGGTCAGCGTCCTATGACCCTGGATCTGCCAAGACCATCCTGAACAATGGGAAAACCTGCAGAGTTGTATTTGATGACACTTACGACAGATCTAGTAAGTACCACACTTAGCTGGGGGCACACAGATGCTCCCAAGGTCTGTGCTGTCAAAATGATTCATGACACAGTAACAGAATTAGGGAGAAGAGGGAGAGTTTCAACTCTGAAAATATAGATGATGTTTGACTTTGCTTTGGCTGTAAAGAAATATATTTATGCCTTGAAAAGGAATGTCTCACCCTCCAATCTTGGTCACTTTGTTGTCACAAAATGGCACAATGCCCCAGCTAAGAGTTAGCAATGCATTCCTGAAATGGAGCTTGATGGGGCAATGATAGCAATAAATCCAAATGAGCATTCCTTAGACCCTGAGGGTTTACAGCTGAGAGTTCTTGTGCTCCTTGACCATGACCCCAACTCCCAAGTTTGGAGAGATTACATTCTACAAAGCAAGAAATGAAACAAAGAAGCAAAGTAGTCACTTTCTTCTCCTCTGCTGCCTGCGAGGGGACCAATCCCGGAGAGAATAGGGCCATTATATGAATCAAGATAATTTGCCTTCTTGCTTCTGTGGGCTGCTTCTGATGAAGGGATTGGGTGAGTGCTTTTGAAGTATCTGACAATTTTTTTCTTGAAGTATGTGCGCGTGTGTGTGTGTGTGTGTGTCTATGCACGTGCTCGCGTGTGTGTGTGCGTGAGAGAGAGAGAGAGAAACAGAGACTGGAATATAGCATGGTTAAAAAAACTACTTCAACTACATAAGTAAGCAAGTCACAAATGAAAATCAAGTAAATTAGAAATGTTTTATTGCACTGTAAATGAGATAAGAAATCTTTAATATTTTGATACTTGGTGTAAAATAGTCTTAAATGTTTCTTATTGATGTACATAAATGAAAATTTCCAGTGTTGTAATAAAGAGTAAAAGAGTAAAGTAAGTCCGACTTACTTGGAGGTTCTACGTAACATAATAGAAATTGACTCTAATTAGTTTTTTTTAAACTTTTATTTAATGAATATAAATTTCCAAAGTACAGCTTATGGATTACAATGGCTTCCCCCCCATAATGTCCCGCCCACCCACAACCTTCCCCTTTCCCACTCCCTCTCCCCTTCCATTCACATCAAGATTCATTTTTGATTCTCTTTATATACAGAAGATCAGTTTAGCATACATTAAGTAAAGATTTCAACAGTTTGCTCCCACACAGAAACACAGAGTGAAAAATACTGTTTGAGTACTAGTTATAACATTAAATCTCAATGTACAGCACACTAAGGATTCTAATTAGTTTTTTCATGTTGCTGTCTTTTCCTTTTTTCCCCTTCACCATTTAAATCCAGTTACACTTTGGAGGAACAACAGTGAAATTAAATATATCTTTTAGTTTTAACTGTATAAAAATGACATTTCTGTAAGCAAAAGTAGATGAACATTGACAACTTCATGTGGTTCATTCTAACAAATTGGACTCATGTACAGATAGTAACTATTTTGACTGGACAGGGCAAATGTTGATGAGTTAAACCACTTTATTCCTACATGATCAAGCTCATATAGGCCTAACATTATTGTTTTAGATCTATGCTATGGCTTTCTATCTGCCACTTAGCATGACCAATCCTTTCTAAAAGAGCTACTCTCTGAATTCTATTTTGATCTAATTTATTTTGCTAAGCTTTACATTTAGGGTTTCTGCAGTTTCCAATCTCCTCTGGAAGGTATCTGAATCTCTACGTCACTCCTCACGCTGAGACCAAATTAAGTGACCAGTTGAGGTATTTATACAACCCCAAATTAATGTCACTGAGAATTACCTAGCTTAACAGTCTGCACTGAGTAATTTCTTTGGAAATTTCTGAGTCTTGCATTTAATCTAATTTGAAAAAGCATAGGCTGAATTCACTATGTATGAAAGTTCTTGCTTGTAATCTTGAAGAAAAGTATAGTAGAAAACAGGACACAAGGAAGGAATTCACATTTGCACAGTGATCACTGTGCGGGTGCTGTGGTGGGCACTAGTGGTGTGCTTAATCTTATTTAATCTTCACAGCAGCTCTGCAAGTTTGGGATTATTATCACCTTCTTAAAGATGCAGAAATGAGTTCAGAGAAGTTCAGCAACTTGCTTGAGGTCACGTAACTAGCTTTGTTTGAAGCATAAATCTGTCTAGCTTTCAACTGTTCAGTTCCTTCCTCTGCATCACACTATTGACCTTAACTTTGATGTATGTATCATTTTTGACAATCTGTTATTTTAACTTTATTTTTATAAACTTTAAAACCATATTCCAAAAACCAATAAAATAATTAAATGAAATAAAACATAAAAAGGACTATGAGTTTCGCGTCCATTAAGACACCCAAATCTCACACTAGAGTACCTGCATTTGATTCCTAACGCTAGTTCCTAACTCTAACTTCCTGCCAATGCAAACCCCAGGAGCAGTGGTGATGGTGACTCAAGTAATAGGGTTCCTGCCAACAACAAAGGAGACCTGGATTGCATTCCCAGCTCCTGGTTTGGCCCTTGGTCAGCCCTGGCCATGTGGGCATCTGGGGGGTGAATCAGCAGATGGGAGCCTTCTGTCTATGTCTATCCCTGTCTTTCTGATTCTCAAAATGAATAAAGAAAGAAAGAAAAAAAACATTTTTTAATGTCCCAACTTCATTTTGTGAGGAGTCCAGTTTACTTGGACAAGGCTACATACAACCCCCTTGGTCCATCAAGCAGGTGTAAGAGCACCTGTTTAAAGTAGACTCTGCAAGAGAAGCATGAATCCACTGCTGACCGAGCTTCTTTGAATCACAGTGCTGAGAGGTGGTCCCCTTCCTGGACCCTACCGACTTCGCCAGTTTCATCTGCACTGGGGCTCCTCAGATGATCATGGCTCTGAGCACATTGTGGATGGAGTCAAGTATGCAGCGGAGGTAAGAACTATTGTAATGGACTCTGGGTCTCACACAGTGAAAAAACCTGAGAAAGTAACAACTACAGCAACAAAACAGCCTTCACTGATTTTCCTTCAAGCCTGTATTTGTGAGAATAGCTATATTTAAGCTGCTCGACTTTCTAGGGTAGATGGTTACAAGGATGTAGCTGAGGTAGCACCGTGTTTGAAGACTTTCAATATTGTCTGCAGAAACTGGAGAGCTATATAATATTTTTAAAAAGCCCAGTTCCCTAAATGGAACTGGAATAATAAGGATAGTTAACACTTGTCTGGTGCTTGCATGTATTAACTCTGTTGATCATCTTAGCAACCTTGAGGTAGATTCTGGATAAGGAAACTGAGGCACAGGAACATAACAAAGTCACACAGTCAATGAGTACTAAACTTGGTGCTATACCTTATGTAGACCAGCTCCAAAGTTCATCATCTTACCCAGAGTTCCATGTCATAAGGAGATAGTGTTCTAGAAAGAGCTTTCAGTAATTGTGACTAATACTTATGTCCTAATATTTTAATGAAGGGTGTGGATAAATACGTATATGTGTGTTAGACACACATTTTGATAAGATATACACATCCAATTGAATGTGAGCAAATACTCTCCTCTGTCTTATTTAACTAATTAAAGAAAAACATAATTTGTAGCTCCAATCAGGGCTTCAAACTATAAAGGAGGAAGACAAGCTTTCTACAGGTTCTGTTTATACAGTCAAGCCTGTATGTGTTGATAGTTGCCCCTGGAAGCGAGGATCAATTCATTTTTCCTGCCTCACTCTTTTCTAAGGGCAGGCTGTGGTTAGCATAGGGACTGTCAGAAAAACCTGAGGCACATGTGGGCATTCTTCTAAGAGGAAAAATCAGGCAGCATAACTGTTGGTTAAATTCAATTCCGGAAAACCCAAAGTATTTTACTGTGATCATTCCATTTGTCTACAATCAATCCAAAGAACCAGTGGCAGGATAAATTAACTATTGAGAAATTGAGAATACCTTCTAGGCATCTTCTACACAAATGGGGAAAAGTTAGTATATTTCTTTCTGACATGGGCAAGGCCTTCAATTTGACCTTTGTATATAGGATTATCTCACACTTTTGACTTTGAATAAAATATTGTTTAACTACTCTGTAACTCAGTATGGGAAACTTGATTAGCTTAGCTGGTGCTCATGTTCTAAATTAAGATAAGGTTGCCACCGTGTTCCAGAGCCCTAGATAAAAGGAGGTAGATAGAGTTAGACACTTTTTATTTGAACTTGAAAAATGTCACCAGAATATTGCATGTTGGTATTTGTAATTTTGTCATCTTATTTGAGTGTTGTGCAACTTCAGCCTGCCTAATTGTTTGGTTTACCATCCTTAGTCCAGCATTTACCTTATAACCTGTGCTTCACCATTGTAGCTTCATCTGGTTCACTGGAATCCAAAGTATAACACTTATGGAGAAGCTCTGAAGCAACCTGATGGAATCGCTGTGGTTGGCGTTTTTCTGAAGGTGAGGTGAAAAGAGACTCTCCTTTTTCTTTCAAAAATTAATTCCTTATCAATGCTCAGAATAGCATGACTTTCATTCCCTCTTTTTGCTGAAAGTGTGGGGGGTGGATCTATTCAGTCTCAATATCCTTTTTATTATTTGTGCAACGAATCCAAATATTTCTGCTAAGATCAGCTCAAAATGTTTTGCTTTTCTCCGAAAGTGTTCCTTTTGCTAGAGTCCAGTAACCCTAGCACATCTAAATTTTCTGGAAGTGTGGGATGTGTGTATGGAGGGGGAAGGGGATGGTGGGGAGGTTGGGGACAGAGACTTCAGAGGCAGGGGAGCTTATATGGTTGTGCTCAGAGCAACGGAGGCATATTTTTTTTTTTTTATCATCTCCCACTATTCCATTGCAATTGCACTGGAAACCAGAAAAGCCAATGTTGAGAACCTCAGTGGTGCCAAGTCCCTGGCTAGACATCCCCTTGGCTTAAAGTTGCCACACCCACATGATCCCAGGCTAAGATAGCACATGGAATGTGTGTGTTGTTGAGCCAGCCTTGGTTTAAAGAGGACTTAGTGTCATTAACACATGAGTTTAGTGGTAACATAATCTAGAGTGTAAGCCAGAGGTGAAAATCTGGCTTCTTTCTTTTTGAATGACCTAATTTGTTCTATGTTCTGAATTCATTGGGTCATTTTCAATGCTTGGCCACAGCACAACAGGAGGTGGAGCAGGTCTGAGAGGAAAGACAATGAATTTAGTTTTGGATACACAGAGTCCATTCTAGCTCTAATTCTATTTAAAAAGTGGAGTGACTTTGCAGAGAAGGTCAACAACACAGTAATAGATCAACATGTTATTTTGTGGTTTTTTTGTACTCAGAGGCCTGGAGTTTAGATCCGGAAATCTATACTATGTTTAGATCAGGAAATATAGCCTCTGAAATCTTGAGGGCAGAGGGAAATAAATTTATGTTTTTGCTTAGTACAAGATATTCTGGCAGATTCATAAACATCAATTGCAGACATATCAAAATCAATTTTTATAATTTTTTTTATTTGAAAGGCAAAGTTAGAGAGAAGAACACATACACACACATATGGGGCGGGGGGAGAGAGAGAGAGAGAGAGGGAGAGAGAATCTTCCATCCACTGATTCACTCCCCAAATGGCCACAATAGCTGGGGCTGGGCCAGACAAGGAGCCCAGAGCTTCGTCTGGGTCTCCCATGTGGGTGCAGGGGCCCAAGCACTTGGGCGATTTCTATTGCTTTTCCAGGTGCATTAGCAGGGAGCTGGATTGGAAGTGGAGTAGCTGGATCTTGAAGAGGGACATGTATGAGATGTTCATGGCACGGGCAGAGGATTAACCTGCTACTCCATAATGCTGGCCCATCAAAATAAGTTTCAAGGCAGATGTAAATTATAGGGAAAGGAAAATACCACATTTGGATTTCTATTTTCTTACAGATAGGACGTGAGAAGGGGGACTTCCAGATTTTCCTTGATGCACTGGACAAAATTAAGACAAAGGTAAAAAGAAATAATTTTCCCTCCTAATATGTATAGCAGTGAATATTCATCTCTTTTTTACATTTTCAAGTTATTTTCTTTCACCTAAAATCCATTTATAAGTTTGATGGATAATATATATATGGTATTATATATATATACACACACGTGTGTGTATGTGTGTGTGTGGATTACATTTTTATGGCAATTTCAAATACATCCATTTATTTAATTTTCACAATTCCCCATTGGATAATTCCTTTCTCAACAAAGTGGATGAAAGTCAGATGTTAAGTGGCCACTTCTTCCTGCCCAACACACAAACACACGCATGTCTCATGCATGCACACACAACCACAGAGGTACTAAACTTGAGCAATTGTGGGCTTTGCAATTTTGGTGTTGCCTTTCTGGGTAGCACTTACATACTTTAAAATCTTAACAGTAGACTCTTCTAATTAACAGACACATTTTAAGGACTGTTCTAATCAAATGTTGTTAAGTTTTATCACCAGAAAAAAATATTTCAAGTATAATATTCAATAAAAACGTGAGCTTGGGTTTTTTTGCCATCAAACATGAGACATTACTTTATATGAAATAGATCTGTTAAATTTTAGATGCAGAATGAGTTTCTCCTTTTTCTTGAGAAGTGACAGAATTTTGGTTCTACACACAGTTAATAAGGAATAAAATATAAACGTGATTGTGTCAGATTAAGTCAAACCAGCTTAACCTCTTTGCCCCTTATTTCTGAAAGGCCTATACTTTGTTAAAAAGCTCCAATTTCCCAATTTCACAAGGAAAATTGTGAGGCCGTTGGTGGGGCTCACGGCACCTGCACTCTGATCTCTCTCAGGGCAAGGAGGCGCCCTTCTCGCACTTCGACCCCTCCTGCCTGTTCCCTGCCTGCCGGGACTACTGGACCTACCGCGGCTCCTTCACCACGCCGCCCTGTGAGGAGTGCATCGTGTGGCTGCTGCTCAAAGAGCCCATCACCGTGAGCTCCGACCAGGTGAGTGGTGCCTAGCATGCGGCACTGAGAGCGCTGGCTGATAGAAGATATAGGTGCTAAGTGTAAAACAGACAGCAGCTCGACGGCTGACTGCGGGATGGCTCCACAACCAGAGATTTCATGCTTTGCTCTGGTTTATTGGAATCAGCTATTTCAACTTTCTAAAAGTTGCCTTCCTGAGGATACCACAAATGCAGATCATTTAGAGGTGACTGAGAGAGTGAATGTTATCTGGGATTATGCTCCATAAACATGTAAGGGTTTAGATTGTTCTGAGTGAAACAAATATATATATATATACAAAAAAATGCAACAAGTGAAACAAATATATATATATAAACAAATGTAAAAAGTTCAAACATAGAAGTTTATATTTGAATTGTATTTGAACCGAAACAGTGAGTTCTGGCTGGGAGAGGAGACGGTATATAGAGGCTTGAAAGGAGAAGGGTTCTAATGGAAGGGATTTAAGGTATTTGTGTGGTGCCTGTTGTTTCTCCAGTTTTGCAGATAGATACCTTGTAGCTCAGCAGGTGAAATACTTTGCCTATGACCTCACAGCCAAGGGCAGGAACCTAATCCCAGCTCTGGTGTGAGTGCTTGCAGTACTTTTTGGCCTCTCTTCTCAGACCTCCTTTCTTATTGTTTGTCTAAGGAGTGTCTTTGCAACCTTTATTAAAGGGACTTTCAAGGAAAACTGTTTAGGAAAATATAAGTGTGCAAACATGGAGAACAGATTAAAGTGAGTCAACATCACAGGAACTCAGAGGATAGAACCTGTCTATCCTAATGAAATCTGTTTGCTAGTATACCTGCCTTGCTTAAGGTGGCAGGGTTTTTTTTTTTTTTTTTAGATTTAGTTATTTGTCTGAAAGTCCGAGTTACACACAAAGAGAAGGAGAGGCAGAGAGAGAAAGGACTTCCATCTGCTGGTTCACTCCCCAACTGGCCACAACTGTTGGAGCTGTGCTGATCCCACACCAGCAGCCAAGAGTCTCCTCTGGGTCTCCTGCATGGGTACAGGGGCCCAAGGACATGGACAACCTACTGCTTTCCCAGGCTTTAGCAGAAAGTTGGATTGGAAGTGGAGCAGCCGGGATTCGAACCGGCACCCAAATGGGATGCCGGTGCTGCAGGAGGCAGCTTTATGCCACAGTGCGGGCCCCAAGGTGGCAGCTTTAATACATCTACCAATTGAGGATACAAGTATAGATGCTATTTTTATTAAAATGTCAGGTCTAATGATTTTGTTCGTTGGTATAAACTATTTTGAAAGAAGAATGAGATTTTCCTAGGGAGAAGAATTAAAAATAAAATCTATACAGAAATATAGTGTTATTTGTGAAAACTTCCTATTTTCTTATCCATTAAAAATCAGCTTAATATTTTAAATGTAGGATGACCGATTTCTTTATGCTTATAAAATGATGGACTGCATATTCATACAATGAAGACCTACTAAGCTTATTCTTTTGCATTTTAAAATTTAATTATTTGACTTATTTTTAAGGCAGAGAGATGGAGAAGGGAGGGAAGGAGGAAAGGAGGGAGGGAGGGGGTGCAGAGAGAGTGAAGTGGTTCATTTACCATACCCACAACAGTTAGGACTGTGTCAGGCTTAAACAAAGAGACAGGAACTTAATGTTCTGTGTTAGTGGCAGAGATCTAACGGCTGTAGCTAGCACTGATGCCTCCAGCATGTGCATTAGCATAAGCTGAAATCAGAAATAGAGACAGGACATGAACTCCAGTATGGAATGTCACAGTCCCAAGTGGCATCTTAACCAGTACCCCATGCACCTGCCCCAGCTTATTCTTACTTGCACTGAAGTATTAATATTTTCATCCCCTTCAATAAAACTGTAGACTTTGGGGCCAGCATTGTGGCGCAGTGTGTTAAGCCACCATCTGCAGCACCAGCATCCCATTTGGACACTGGTTTGAGTCCTGGATTTCCACTTCCAATCCAGCTCTCTGCAAATGAGCCTGGGATGGCCCCTGCACCTATGAGGGAGACCTGGATGAAGCTCCTGGGTCCCAGCTTCAACCTGGCCCAGCCTTGGCCATTGCAGCTATTTGGGAAGTGAACCAATGGATGGAAGATTGATCTCTCTCTCTCTCTCTCTCACTGTCTTTCAAATAAATAAATAAAATCTTTTTTAAAAAAGGTGTAGACTTCACATTGACCCCCTTGAGTTGAATTGTTTAAAAATTCAGGAGCAAAAGATTTTGACTAGAGAGTATGGTGATCCTGTATAAAATAAAACAAAATGCTTTTATACATTAAAAAAATGTATAGTCCTCAGGCTATACATTTTACAGGAATGTAAATAGCTGCGGAGTGAACACTGAGGCAGGTTTTGTAGTTTGCTTGTCTTGCTGAGGAAGTTAGTGCTTCCAACACTGTTGTATCATGTGTCTGTGAAGTATGAGTGTCTTGCTAACAGTCTGTGCCTGCCCTCTGCAGATTGCCAAGCTGCGGAGCCTCTTCTCCAGTGCTGAGAACGAGCCCCCAGTGCCCATGGTGAGGAATTGGCGTCCTCCACAGCCCATCAAAGGCAGGGTGGTGAGAGCCTCCTTCAAATGAGGCCTCGGGATCTTGCCCTCTTCAGGAAAGGAAACCTACTGTTGGCGAGCATGGCTCCTTGTCTCCTGGTGCTCCTTCCTCCAAGCATATTTGATGTCTCTCCACTGAGCAAGCAATGTGGGAGATTTCAAGATACCAAAGTTGCTTTTGATAAACTCTGATGTGAATGCACAAGTTTCACACTTGACCTTTGTAATATCACCTTTCCTATAAAAATACTATTTCTAGTAAGAAGAAACATGGAAGAATAAAAATACGAAAAAAGGCTATTGGACACCATTTTTTGGTTATCTTAATTTCACAGATCTTCAGTTTTCCTATTTTCATATTAAAAATTATCAATCTTGAAGCAATGATGAGTAATTCTATATATGGGAGTAGATATGTATGAAGATTATGTAACAATTAAACATAAGCCAGAAATTAAAATGGCTATGAACACCAAACATTGAGATGATGATGTGTTTTACCTCTTAAATAGCACAAGGCCTATCATCTATTAAAAATTTAGCTGCAATTAAGGTTATCTGGTTTTGATTATCAGTGAAAGTAAAAGACCAAAAGTTTTATAAATTTTGATCCCAAATTTTAATTTCTTCTTCATAAAGTTGGTTGACTCTATCTTAGTAATTTTCTTGACCTGAAGGAGGGCCATTTTTTTTTTTAATTTCACTACTTTTATCTTTGCATGCCTATTAAAATAAAGACTGCCTCTGATGTATTTTCAGCTCAAGGCTGGAATCATTGATTCCTAATACATGATGGAGTGAATGATGGCACTTGAAGTAAAAGCAGTTGTACTGATTCCAAAACAATAAAGATGTGAAAGCAAAAAGTTGGGTACTGTGTTTTATCATGAAAAAGCATCATAAATGACAAAAATGAAGTAGAACTAAGAACAGGGACTTTTGCAAGTTAGTTTGATAACTGAAGGGTAGCAATATGGGACTCAGGTTCTGAGGTTGTATGCCACATTCTTTAAGGAGCTCAGGCAATTAGTGAGGCCTTTCTGATAGAACTCCAGATAAGAAGAGAAAGGTGTGATCACACATCTGAGAATATGAATTAGTTTCCAGAGGCCTCAAAGTTGGATTAAGTTTCAAACTGAGGTTCAAACTACTGCCATGGGCCCTACTTAGGGACACAGAATCAAGTCAGACTATAAACTTTTGTATCCATAAGCATGCAAATGCATTGGGGGTGACATTAGCCTAATACTGTAAAAGTCCATCCTTGCTGTATTTAGACCTTTAAGACATTTAATGTCTTTATCTGTAAAATCTAATTTTGCAGCTAGTGGCTTTGATACACCTTTCATCACTTCATTGGCCAACATGCTTACTGACTTTAGAAAATGACAACATTAAGGTCACCGTCTCAAAGGAATGAAAACGGTACTGAGTCAGGAGTGTCCTGAGATGCCGGAAGTCAAGTCACATAATGGAGTCCTGTGGGGCTAAAGTTATTTAATAGATTATCACTTGGGTGAAGTAAAACCAGGTTGGTCAGTGCGAAGTGGATGTGTTAATTAAATCCCTTGAAATTAGTAGGCATGGAACTTTGATCATTAGTGGTAATATGCCATTTGATTCTCTCAGGGTACTTAGTAATGCTTAGAGCACTGTAAAAACGTATCCAATGTTCATTCTGTGTGTGGGAGGAGCATTTAACCCGGTACCAGCTGTGTATGGTCCTTCCAATACACAGGCTGGACAAGGCTTGAGCTCTTGAGGGAAAACACCAGAACAGAAAAGGCTGTCTCCCAAAATTGCACACAGGAAGGGGTGGATATGGATCTTACACACTGACATTCACCTCACTCCCTATTCCTGAGTGTAGCATGTAACAAGCATTCAATCAATATTTGCTAAATAAATGATGTCATGACCATAGATGAATCCAAGAAAAATACTCATCTGTTTGAATAACACATAGCATCACTGATCTTGTTGTTATTGCTGCTCATCTTAGTTTTAGAGCTCTTTTGAAAATCATTTTATTAGCTTCAGATGAGAACTTTGCAGAACATATTTCCCCCACCTGGAGCTTACAATGATACCTAACTAAAAGCTTCCTCCTATTTCCCTGTCCCCAAAGTGCTGCTTTACAGTAAATATCCATACTCATGTTTAGTGTTGAGGGTCATTATTCTGATCAAGCACAGGTCTCTAAACACTCCAGGCAAACATAGCCTAAAAAGGGGCATGGCTGTAAGATGCCATATTGCAAAAGTTTAAGCATCAGTCAAGCTTTGTCCATCAGGGTATAGCTGCTGCAGCTATCTTAGAATTTCAAAACAGGGCAGAAGCCAATTTGAACTAACCATTTTCTAATACTCAGATGATCACATCCTTAAAAGTCTATGAATGGGTAGCATCAACACAAATTTATTGAAATGTAATATTACTAGGCTTTTAAGGTTCACTTCTCTACCCTTTTAATGGAAAAACAGAAGATATATTTGTAAAATGGCAACTAATTATTCAAGGTCATTGATCCAAAATTCTTTAAAATGTACCAGATAGATGAATGGGAAGTATTGTACAAAACTTCAGCTTTCAGTATCTGACTGTAATCATTTATGCAATTAGTAAATGCAGTTCAAATGAGTCAAATCTAAATAAACTTGGATACATGTGAAAAATTAGTATGTCAGTCAATATGAATTGGCACAAAAAATTGATCTAAAAGAAACATATATTCAAAAACCACATAAGGAGTACACATATAAAAGTTGACTATGTTCTGATTTCTTCTAATGCCCTCTGATTTGATATTAAAGAGGAACTCTGGACATGAGTAAAATATATTACTTTGGTAGAGAAACAGAAGAGATAAGAATAGTTATAACTGTGAATATCATATTTTTACAATTTCAAATCTAATGCTTGTAAGTTTAATGATTTTTAAAAATTACCCATAAGGTAGTAATTTAAAGACAGTATTAAAATACAAGTAACAAGGCAAAATTGTTTGCATGTTCTTTTCATTTAAGCCACTAGATGGCAGCAAAATATTTTAAAACTTCATATAAGTCACTAGGTGGCAGCAAAATAATTACAAGAATGAAATTAAGTTCTGCTGCTTTTTTTATTCATGTTAATCGCAGAGCAATGAGGTTTTTTTAAAAAAAATTTGAACTGAAATAATATTTTTTCTTAAATGTTTATAATTGATTGTTACTGTTTTTCTTCAAAAGAAAAGATGGCAATGTATTCTTATATATTCTTGGAAATCTTTATAGCCACAAATCAAGTCTGAGGGAAAAAAGGATAGTGGTTATTCAACTGAAAAATAAATGAGAAACAAACATGTGAAGTTTCCAAGAGGAGCGGGATCCAGTCATATAACACTTGCTGGATATGAAACCTCTGTTCCTCTTCTGAAAATAGGATGATACCAGCACCTGCCAAGAGAGTTAATGCATGGAAACCTCTAGAATTGTCATTTTGACATAACTCTTAATAGGAGTTAATTGTTATTTTTGTAAATATTTATTTGATTTATTTGAAAGCCAGAGTTACAGAGAGAGAGAGAGAGAGAGAGAGAGAGTTCTTCCATCTGCTGGTTCACTCCCCAGATGGTTGCCATGGCTAGAGCATAGCCAGTCTGAAGCCAGGAGCCAGGAGCCAGGAGCTTTTTCCAGGCCTCCCACATGAGTTCAGGGGCCCAATAACCTGGGCCACCCTCTTCTGCTTTCCCAGGTACATTAGCAGGAACCTGGATTGGAAGTGGAGCATCCAGGACTCAAACCAGCACTCATATGGGATGCCAGCAATTCATGCCATGGCTTTAACCTGCTGTAGCACAGTACCAACTTAACTGCTATATTTTATAAATTAACTTTGCTGTAACTAAAGAAATGCTAATGGTTTATTCAATACCTAAAATCACGTTTCTTTTTTTATGTATCTATTAGTAATCACAACCCCACATATTGTTAATTCAGGTGATATTAGAAGAGTTACTATCATGGGCTGCCTTCTGCTTCTTATTGTGGGGAAATGGTATTTTGAAAACAACAACTGTTGTCCCACAGGAAAAGGAAGCTGTGCCCACATTACACATCAGCAGGTTGTTAGAAGAGGCTTTTTGGAGGAGGACCAGATAATTTTTCTTGAGGAATCTTCTGTTCCAGCAATTCCACACTTTACCTGAGGAGGTGTTTAATTATAAAAAAAAAATCCATCAAATACACTAAAGAGAGAATCATAGCATTCTTTTGTTCAATAACATCTTGATTTTTTCAAGTCATAGTTCCAAGGAGTACTGTCTGAAGTGGAAAATCTGTCTTACATTCAGTATAGAAAGTCTACTGCCATGAAATTGATTTTACATGAGTCTGGGCATGTCACAAAATCAGTCCTGGATGAGATGAACAAGTCACACCAGGGAGTAGAGTTTATACTTTAGGGGCTGATTCAACTCCAGTTGAACTACCGGAGATAAAACAATTTAGGTATGCAATCCAGGACCAAGCGATTGACTAGAGTGCTAACGAATTAATTTAGATGTGAAGATGTTTGGCAGGTGCAGGAATCTGACAACCTGACCAGGTAGAAAATCACAGATAATCAACAGGAGTAAGAGCGAGTCTAACGAACTGTGCAGCCACAGGGGACCAAGCGCACTGCAGCAGCATAAAACCCAGTGATTTAAAAGCTAATTTTAGCCAGGTGAGAATTGACTCTGTGCAGTAAACAGGGCATCAGATTCTCTCTTGTATTAAAAATCATTCCCAGGTAGAGGAGTCCAGAATTTCAGAAAAATAGTTTTGCCATTAAATATACATGTTCTCTGCTCCAACATGTCCATAAATTTCTGTAATGCTCTGTCAACTAGTTTGAAATTTGGATAGATCCAAACAAGTTTGTTCAAGGGAAGTCATTCCCTTAAGGGCAACTTGAGTCCCATGGAAGTACAACACAAATGGACGTGTTTGAAAATACTGGGCTCGTAGAATTCATACTTCTGTTCCTCTGTGTGAGCAGTTTACACGTGGCCCAAGGCAGTCACAAAGGCCACCTAGATGGATTAGGACCCCAAAGAGGGGGATTGCTCTATCCAAGTACAGCCAGTGTAAGGGCTGGTCCTGGTGAAAGGAAGAATTGAGAATTAAGAATTAAGAGAGCTGCAGTTCAGTGAATAGTTAAGTGGCACGGGTTCTTGCCATGGGAACTAGTATAGGAATAACTGTAATACTTCTAAATTCTACCTGTAATGTAAGCTAATTTGTGTGTGTGTGTGTGTGTGTGTATGAGAGAGAGAGAGAGAGAGAGAGAGAGAGAGAGAGAGAGAGATAGAGAGGGAATAGTGGGTAAGGAGGTTTTATGAAGGTAAGGACTTTGTCTTGATATACTGCTGGAGCCTGAGTACCTAACACAGATCCTAGTGAAATCTCAAAAACATTTACTGAATGTATGAATGGAAGGATAGAAGGGTGGTGGGGTGGATGGCAGGCAGGAGTGTGATACAATGAGACTCCTGCCTAAAATACAGAATGACAGCCTTGGTGCATGTGCTTCTGGAAGCTCCTGCCACATCCTAGGAAGAGACCAGCATCTCACAGAGTCTAGGAGGAATGCACAGATATTACTGCAACCAGGTTTCTCTGTAAAGTTACTATGAATGGAAGAAGAGACACAGCTTGTTGTCTACCTGAAACTTAGCATTTGCAAGTTTAGATTTTAAAAACTAATTTAACTTACTATAGGAGGGACATGTTTCAGGAGATATAAAAGAGGGTTCTTTACCCGGATATTTATCTCTTTTTGCACCCATGCGTCTAATTCTAAAGTTGAAGAGGAAGGTTGGCAATGAGCCTGGACGTTAGAC